GGCCAGGCTGGATGGGGCTTGGAGCAACCTGGTCTGGTGGGAGGTGTCCCTGCCCAGGGCAGGGGGTTGGAACTCAATGATCATTGGGGTCCCTTCCAACTCTAACCAGTCTATGATTCTATCTCCATAGGGAGCCTCTCTCACTGTTTAAGGGCAAAACCTCAGCCTGTCTTGCAGTCATAAATAAGTGACAAACTATTCACCTTTCCCACATCTGTCAGTTCTTTGCCAGCCCAACTGAAACGAGACCAATAGAGATGGATGAACAAGCTTCCCACAGCTTTCTGCTGATTCTGTGCTTGTGGTCCTTTCATTTCAATGTGCCCATGTAGTTTCCTGAGGTTCAAGTCTTAACAGCTAGCATGGGATAGCTGCGGAGCAAATTCCCAGTGTAATGCATTCTGTTCCTTCTGTTTCTTACTCAATGTGCCCTTGTAGTTTCCTGAGAATCATAGAATCATAGAATCATAGAATGGTTTGGGTTGGAAGGGACCTCAAAGATCATCGAGTTCCAACCCCCCTGCCCTGGGCAGGGACACCTCCCACCAGACCAGGTTGCTCAAACCTCTTCCAGTGTCTCACCACCCTGAGGTTCAGTTCTTACCAACTAGCATGGGATAGCTGTGGAGCAAATTCCCGGTGTAATGCATTCTGTTCCTTCTGTTTCTTACAGAGATCATCCTTTATTAAAATTAAATAACATCATCATAACCCCTCACATTGGAACCGCGACAGTCCAAGCCATGCGTATGATGGCAGAAGAAGCAATAGCAAATATACTGGCAGTCCTCAACGGCCAACCCATTCCAAGTGAAGTGTTTCCCAAGTGACACGTGCTGGATGATGTCACTAAATCTCATATGTATGGGAAGGCTCTATTTCTTACAGCGCCACTTAAAAGATATCACCCTGTTTCTGCACTGCTCTTGTTGTCATGGTACTGCAAAGCTGTCGTCTCATTAGACTTGATCTGTATTGCTATTTACAATTCTGAAAAATAAAGTGGAACTAATAAAAGGAATCTATTTTAAAAAAATTTAAATGAGCAAGTTATGCACTTCGATATCTTCAGTCCATTATCTCAAAGAATACCTGTGTTCTGTCCCCAGTACTTGCTGCTAGATAATGACAAGCAAGTACACCAAGCAGTTTGTGTAGCGTTCTCAAATATATTAAAGGTGAATTGAGCATTAATTCCCTACAGAAATTTGAGTGTATCCTGAAACAATTTCCAGCCAATACCGAAATATTCCATTTTTAGATTAAAACACTGAAAAAAGCAGACTCCTTTGAAATGCAGGCCTAACGTTTTCTCATGTAAGAAGAGCTCTACTTCATCTACATGTTAAATTGAAGCCAAGACAATCATGAAAAAGCCTCTTTGATTTTCCTGAGGGGATCCTTTGAAAACCAAAGTAAATCCCAAGACATTTAGTCCATGCAGACAAATACGATGCTTTTATCTTGACTGGCCATGAAACAGTAGTAGGTCTACCTCTGAAATCATTTGGGTGAGGGTGCAGACTAAAGCAAAATTAGTGATCATTCCAAGCTTTTCCTTACATTCCCTTTCCTATGAGCAAGCAACAAAGTCAGAAAATTCAGTGATATGTTTGCCATCTCCATAAAATCAGGAAGCCTCTCCATTAATTTGCAGTGTGGCCAGGCTTCTTGAAGGGATGGTAAAATGAAGTTTTAGCCCAGGAAGTGTAGACAGGCCAAGAGTTAGACATTCAGATGCAAATAGTGAAATATTACTAACGAGATAACAGCAAGAATTGCAATAACAAAACAGCAAGCATTGCTATAGGGGATTCCAAGATCTTCAGCCCATCAACAGCTCCCCCTGCAACTCTAGATTTTTAGAAGAGATCCCATTAAAAGGCTTTTTTTTTACAGTGAGAATTAAAGGGAATGTCACATACATGTGGCAGGGAAAGATGATTTATTAAGGACTCACCCAGGATGTTACATTGCTACTTAAAATTGTGTGTTTGTGACATTTAAATGTGTACTATAGTGGCACACCAACACCAGACTCTTTTGCCTTGTTCCTCCGTGTTGGACCCCATTAATTTCTCATATTGGAGTGTTTTTCTTTCTTGCAGGCTGTCACATTGCCATTTCTTCAGGTACAGAGTATTGTGAAGCTGATCTTCTGGGAGTTGAAGTTACTGGAGCTACTCTGGGGATCATTGGCATGGGCAGAATTGGGTATAAAATTGCTCTGAGAGCCAAAGCGTTTGAAATGAAGATTTTGTACCACAACAGGGCACAGAGGTAAAGATATGTCTTGACCTTAATTACAGGAGACACTCCTTTTTAGGTAGCAGGATTTCCTTTTCAAGGAATTATGTCAGGAATATAGCAAGAAATGAGGGAATGCCGAGATTAAAACAAAAGAAAAAAACAGAACTGTTGCCTCAAATCAAGTCATGTAATGAATTACTTGGAGATCAAACACTTGGAAACTTAATTTATGTTTTGTATCAGAAATTCCAAGGTTTCCTGGAGATGTGAACAGAAAATGAAAATCAAACCTCTAGCCTTGCTTGGCGTTCCTGTTACTTCAGGAATTACAACGACACCTTAGCAAACTCACATTAAAAAAAGTATCAGTGAACACCCTCCTTAAGAGCTTTCAGAATTTTTTCAAAAACCACAAAAAGCAGAAAATAGGGCAGAAATCCTTCTTTCTTTTCCCCTGTAGATTTATCACTAACTCCCTCGGTTTAATATTTTTCAGCCTCTAATATTTATGTAAGAGTGCTGTGATGAAAAATCAATGCACAGTGCAACAGAAATGAAAAACTTGCTTATTTTGAAGTATGTTTGCACTTCGAGCTCATGTGCTGAAGCGAGATGCGCTCTGCATGCTGCAAAACTGGCTGTAGTTCCAGTCTGTTCTTTACCCACTTAATCACTGTTTGTTGACCTGGACGCTGAAAAGAAAACAATGAAATGCATGCGTTAGGAGACACACGGTCCAAAGTTACACTGAAGTTATTTTCTGAGTGTGACTTCTTTCTTTATTTCTAGATCAGGGAGGAGATAATTCAAAGCCATTCTCTTGCAATCAGGAGCAGAAGATTGTACACACAATCTCCTATCATTGCTTCTTTAGTTCCCAAAATTCAGGCAGCTAAATTTACAAAGACAAGGAGAAATGACAAGTATCCTTTTTTATTGTGAAATTTTCAAACTAACATTCTGCCTCTACTCTAGTAACTTTTTGTGTTGAACACTCACTTTTGTTTAAGTCCTGGGGCAGCCAGGAGCCAGCCAAAGAGCTGTCTTGCTGTTTCCACTCATTGGAAAATGAGAGGCCCACTGGAGGATGCCACCAGGATGAGGACCACCAGCACGCTCAGAGCTCACATGGATGAGTTCTGGTGAATCCCACTACTCTGGTTTGAGCGATTTCTGTGTCCTGTGAGGTGCACCTACCCCACGGTGGGGGATCCTGGAGAGTGTTGCCATCTGGTCCAGTGCTTACCCTTAGTCCACTCGCAGACTTTAAAAGAAGCCCCTGGACCCTGCACTGCTGTGGCCGAGAGGCAGGCATGCAATTTATCTCCTGCTGTAGGGCTTGAAGCCTTCCAGAAGGGACTAAACAGCTGAGATTAAATAAATTAATCTCTTTTTTTTTTTGCCACCTGTTTGCTAATCTTTGGTAATCAGATTCTTTCATTTGTATACCACTGACATCACTGAAGAAAATATTTTCATGACTGCTGTCCTGAGATATACTGTGATCCTATTTTTCTCCACCAGGAAAGAGCAAGAGGAGCAAGCTGTCGGCGCCACTTACTGCGAAAAGATAGACAATTTGCTCCAGCAGGCAGACTTTGTGATGGTGGTGGTGAGCCTGACACCTCAGACATGCAAGCTGATTGGGAAAAGAGAGCTGGAGCTGATGAAACCCACAGCTACTCTCATCAACATCAGCCGAGGTACCATCCAGAACCATTTACTGGCCTGAGGACAAAGTATGAGCTGGCTGCTGGGGTGTTACCCACCACACAGCTGGTGCAAGCACCAGGTCGGGGGAGGCATGGCCAAAATTCCCTTCTCACCCCTTCTATTCTCTTTTCACTCTCAGATTGTTCCCTGCAAATGACACTCAGAGACACTCTTAATCCACTCCAGGTGCAGTAATTGACCAAGAGGCGCTGGTGACCGCTCTGCAGACTGGCACGATCAGGGCAGCAGCTTTGGATGTCACCTACCCAGAACCACTGCCCAGGTTGCCATCTCTGCCTGTTTCTCAGCAAGGTGGGGGGGTCGGTCTCTTCTCCCAAGTCCCAGGCGACGGGACAAGAGGAAACGGCCTCAAGTTGCACCAGGGGAGGTTCAGATTGGAGATTAAGAACAATTTTGACATGGAGAGGGTTGTTAAGCCTTGGGATGGGCTGCCCAGGGAAGGGGTTGAGGCCCCATCCCTGGAGGGATTTAAAAGCCGGGTTGACATAGTGCTTAGAGACATGGTTTAGTGATGGTTTTTGATCAGAGTTAGGTTGATGGTTGGACTGGATAATCTTAAAGGTCCCTTCCAATCTGGACAATCCTATGATTCTGTGATTCGATGGGTGAGCCCTACCGAGGCAGGTGGCATCCCTGCAGCAGACAGGGATCTGGCATCCCCCGGGGGGTGAAGGTCTGTGTAAAAGCACCATGAATACGAATGGGATGCAGCCCCGATGTTGGATCTGATAACAGGTCAAAGGGAAGCCAGGAAACAGCAGGAGGGGGCTTGGGAGCATTCAACCCCCTCCCTAGAATCACCATATGAAGCTGCAGAGGTGCTTCACTTACAAATTGCTTTATCTGAAGGTGCAACTTGCTGTGAATGGGTGGAAGCTGCTTGAGTCGCCTTGAACCTGCTGCATTGCCCCAAGGTTTCCCTCCCCACAGGCTCCTTTCCCCAGCACAGGGCTGAAGGACTGCAGATCTCCTGGTCCCAGAGGCCTCTTAGCTTCTGTAAAAAGACATCTCCTGGTCCCAGAGGCCTCTTAGCTTCTGTAAAAAGACACCCTCTACCACAAGGGTTCCTCATGGAGTTAACTGTGCTGGCTGCCTTTGGGGCTGGGGGAGCTGGGTCTTGTTATGTCTGGGTGCCAGGACATCACTCTCCCATTATCTGAGTCGAAATGGTCGCTCAGGCCATTGTGTAAGGTTAATGGGTCAGGAGGGCTTAATCCTCTTTTCTGACATTCTCTCAAATTGCTGCCTAATGGCAAAAGTGATTGTTTCCGAACAAAAGAGCACAGTGTAAACTCTTAACATGTCCTTTTAATATCCAAAATGACTTGAACAGACCTAATCAGGTTCTGTGGGTGTAAGCGGGACTTGTAAAGTTATATTAAATTAACTTTAAATACAGTCCAAAGCCAAAGTAGGACTCCTCTTTCTTTGGAAAAAAAAAAGTAGGTCAATTAAGTATCTCTTTTTTCCTTTCTTCCAGAGATCATACATTGTTGAAATTAAAGAACATCATTATAACGCCTCACCTTGGCATTAAAACTGACAAGGCCACCTACATGATCACAGAGGAAGCAGTTGAAAACATCTTAGCAGCTCTTAATGGTCTCCCCATGCCCAGTGAAGTACTCCCTAGCTGATGTGCAAAAGGATGTGACAGCTCTCTTTCTATTTTTCTCTTTCCCCCCACCAGCTCTAAAGGCTTTTATTCTTATGTCTTCCCCATTAAGAGAAGCCTATTCCAAGTGGGCATGGAAAGCTCTGGCTTGGTCTCACATGTCGTTAAAAAACAGCTTTTACACTTTAATTTCCTTGCAAATTGGGAGAGCTTCCTACCCTATAGATGCATCCAGGTTTTAAAGTGGCTCTGGGAGAACCAGCTTCTGATTGCCTGTGCACTTCTTGCTGTGCTCCCTAGTCCTAAAGACTATGTCATTTTAGATTACATATCTCACTTTGTTCCCATTCTATTAGCTAGCAAAACCAAAAAAGTAAGCTACCTGGCTGGGAATATTATTGATTTTCCATATGGAAATCTCTGTTTTTACCTGGTTATTGATTTTCCATATGGAAATCTCTGTTTAAACTAGCTCCTGAGATACAAAACACTCAGACAACAGTCAGTTTTGAGAAACGTGCTCAGAATCGTTTATTCCAAGCAGAGTGGATTTTAGAAGACAATTTAAAGTACTGAGGAAAATTAGTCTTCAAGATGAAGATGCTCCTACGTTTGCAGTACCAAATTTCTGTGCAGTTTAACTCTGGATTTTCTACTTTGTGCAAGAATTTGGAAGAACCCTTGGAGCCCTCTAAGCTTCCACCCCCATTCTGTAAATTAGTGGGAACACAAACATCGATAAAAACACACGCAGCATTAAAATCCATATCTATATGTTTTCCTTTGTGTATTTTCTACTTTGTGCAAGTATTTGGAAGAGCCCTTGGAGCCCTCTAAGCCTCCACCCCCATTCTGTAAATTAGTGGGAACACAAACGTCAATAAAAACACACGCAGCATTAAAATCCATATCTATATGTTTTCCTTTGTGTCACTGCTTCTGGACATTTGCAAAAATAATTATATTTGAAACAAGATATAACAGGGAGCTTCAGGGCACTGAGGAGAATTAGGCTTCAAGATGAACGTACTCCTACATTTGCAATACCAAATTTCTGTGCAGTTTAACTCTGGATTTTCTACTTTGTGCAAGTATTTGGAAGAGCCCTTGGAGCCCTCTAAGCCTCCACCCCCATTCTGTAAATTAGTGGGAACACAAACGTCAATAAAAACACACGCAGCATTAAAATCCATATCTATATGTTTTCCTTTGTGTCACTGCTTCTGGACATTTGCAAAAATAATTATATTTGAAACAAGATATAACAGGGAGCTTCAGAAAAGAGAAAAAAATACTTTGACAAATTACCTTTGCTACTGCAATTATTATAGAAAAAATCATATCCCATGGCTTTTCTCCACTAGAAATAGTACCTATATTACAATTAATCATTCAAATTCAACAGGGCAAGGGTCTGTTTAATAGAAGAATGCTCATCCACCTCACTAAAGCTTTGTAGGAAGCAGTTTGCTGTCCTCTCAGTTGTCTTTGTGTACTCTCTGTTGTCTTAATACAAATCCAAAAGACAAATAAACCAATACACAACTCAAAGTGGCGGTGCTGTGCATTTTATTATGTAGTATGACTTTACAAATAGTATAATTATTTAATCTGTCAGTAAAATTTATGGCAAAGTTAGCAGACATTAAGTGCAGCTAGGGTTTAGAGTTTACTGTCCTCTCAGTTGTCTTTGTGTATTCTCTGTTGTCTTAATACAAGTCCAAAAGACAAATAAACCAATACACAACTCAAAGTGGCGGTGCTGTGCATTTTGTTATGTAGTATGACTTTACAAATAGTGTAATTATTTAATCTGTCAGTAAAATTTATGGCAAAGTTAGCAGACATTAAGTGCAGCTAGGGTTTTGCTTGTAGTCTTATGCATTAGGGCAACGAAGCTGGTGAGGGGTCTGGAGAGCAGGTCTTCTGAGGAGAGCCTGAGGGAGCTGGGGGTGTTCAGCCTGGAGAAAAGGAGGCTGAGGGGAGACCTTCTCGCTCTCTACAGCTCCCTGAAAGGAGGGTGTAGCCAGGGGGGGTCGGTCTCTTCTCCCAAGTCCCAGGTGATGGGACAAGAGGAAATGGCCTCAAGTTGCACCAGGGGAGGTTCAGATTAGAGAACAGGAAAAATTTTTACATTGAAAGGGTTATCAAACATTGGAACAGACTGCCCAAAGAAGGGGTTGAGGCACCATCCATGGAGGTATTTAAAAGATGGTAGACATAGTGCTTAGAGATACGGTTTAGTAGTGGCTTTTGTGAGTGTTAGGTTGATGGTTGGGCTAGATGATCTGACAGGTCCCTTCCAACCTCAACAATTCTGTGATTCTTTGGTTCTATCTTTACAGAGTCATTTCCACTTCCATTTTCTTGCCAAAGATGCTTGCTAAAAGACGCTTCCTTCCACCAATTTATCATACGATGATGTTGCCGGTTCTTGCAGCTCTTGGAAACAAGACATCACAGCTTTTCAGGAGCAGCAAGTTAGCCAGGCAAGAATTTCAAGACTGACCCAGGTACCTCCCAGTTCTCTGAGGTACAGGTGCTCAGCGTGGCTTTCATTGTCACCTGCATGACCTTGGCACAAACAAGCTGTTTAGTCTTTCAAAATAAAAGGCTAAGCAATACATTACAGAGCTGAAAACAAAGCTACAAGAAGCTAAAATAGCAGAGAGAAAAAAAAATACCTTTTATTACATCAATATCCTAAAACTGGAAAAAAACCACACAAGGTCTTGCACGTGCCAACTTTCTCCAGATGTGAAGCGTCAAACATGAAATCAGGTACTTCATTTCACTTCTACATAAAACAATAGAATGTGCTTGCCATTTGCTTGGAGTTTTACTTCTGCTTTTGCAAGTATTTCAAGAATCTAGGGTGATTAGTTACAGAAGCTGTCCCCGCCAGTGGGGTGCTTTAGACAGGAGGATGCAGTGCCAGACAGCAGGATACCCGTCAGTCATTGGAGTGATGGGTTGACTCAAGTAACACCGTCAAACGTGAAATCAGGTACTTCATTTCACTTCTACATAAAACAATAGAATGTGCTTGCCATTTGCTTGGAGTTTTACTTCTGCTTTTGCAGGTATTTCAAGAATCTGGAGTGATTCATTACAGAAGCTGTCCCCACCAGTGGGGTGCTTTAGACAGGAGGATGCAGTGCCAGACAGCAGGATTGGAGTGACAAGTCAGTCATTGGAGTGATGGGTTGACTCAAGTAACACCCCTAACGACTTGGCATTCCACAGACTGGAAATCAGCACTCAAACATCTTTGGGAAACAACTGCCTCTCTTTTCAAACTACATTGCAAAAAATGGCCCTTTGTTTTCTGCCTGTCCTTAATCTATAAATATTTTTTGAGTAATATCAAATTAACTGACATACAGTAAAGGAAACCTTCTTGTGCTTACCAGATGCTGTTTCCCATTTCTGCTTAGGTTGCACCTGGAGAACACAATACACCCAGTCTTGTGATTGCTGAAAATGGATCAAAAAATGCAGTGGCCACACGAGCCAAGAGACGATCCATTGCAGTTCACTCCGCTGATTCAGATTTCTCTGAAACATTCTGATGGGCAAACAGCACATGATCTGGCACAACGTGCTGCTACAGTAGCCTGTTGGGAACGCTGACCCTACCTACGGCAAGCGGAGGGGTTGGTGATAACACTTTATGATGGTTTAGGGTCAGAGAAAATAAATGCATCACTTGGGTTGGCCTTGCCTGAAACAACAAACTCATGAATATAGAATTCCTGCCTCTCCTGTTTGTTTTTTTTTTGTCCTATGAATCCTGGTAACATAGAAGAGGAGTGTGGCCAGCAGGTCAGGGAGGTTATTCTCCCCCTCTGCTCTGCCCTGGTGAGACCCCATCTGGAGCACTGGGTCCAGTTCTGGGCCCCCCAGTTCAAGAAGGACAGGGAACTGCTGGAGAGGGTACAGCAGAGGACCACAAAGATGATGAGGGGTCTGGAGCATCTCTCTTAAGAGGAAAAGCTGAGGAACTTGGGTCTTTTTAGTCTAGAGAAGAGAAGACTGAGGGGGGATCTAATCAACACCTATCGATACTTAAAGGGTGGGTGTCAGAAGGATAGGGCCAGTCTTTTCTCAGTGGTGCCCAGTGACAGGACACAAGGGAATGGGCACAAAGTTGAACATAGGAAGTTCCATCTAAACATGAGGAGGAACTTCTTCCCTTTGAGGGTGGCAGAGCCCTGGAAGAGGCTGCCCAGAGAGGTGGTGGAGTCTCCTTCTCTGGAGACATTCCAAACCCACCTGGACATGTTCTTGTGCAACCTGCTCTGGGTGGACCTGCTTTGGCAGGGGGGTTGGACGAGATGATCTCCAGAGGTCCCTTCCAGCCCGTATCATTCTATGATTCTGTGATATAATATTGCTTTCTAATACATAATGTAGACATGGGAAATGTATGTTTTTACCCAGTTACGTGCTTCAGCATCCCACCTGGGAAATGTATTACATTGCATTAAACAAAAGTCCTTTCAGCTCACGCAATACTTCAGAAGTCTAATCCTAAGAAACAATTATGATGCAAGCACCTTATTAACACTGCAGGCATCAGCTTGCCCTGCAGTATTACAGGGACACCAACAGCAATAGTTAATAATGGGAATGAAGTTCACAGAGTGTGCAATACTTCTCTCCCCGGACCCACAGACATCCTTCATTTCAGAGGACTTTGTCACAAGGCTGGTATAATAGATTCCTTTCTGTAACACAAAATTAACAGCACACTGCAACGCTAAGTAATTCAGCTTAACACCCTACATGGAGGTCTAACAAGTACTCTACAAATTACATCTACTTGTAACACTGGTGCAACACTCATCTTGTTTTACCTTAATCAGACTTATGGTAATCATTGTTTGATTGCTGCCCACACTCTACGCTGTGACATTCTGTGTCCTAGGAATTCACACAGCTCTTCAATCACTCAAAATATAAATGGCTTCCTGATGTTTTCGGTCACATGTGTTTCTATGCAGATATATCTCCTCCTGAACCATAATCTGAAAATTAGATGGTCAAGTTACACAAAAAAACCTTTGAAGCTGTCTCATTCTCTCCACATCTAACCACATAATTTTCTTGACATCTGATATGTATGCCCTGGATTTTTGCTTAAAAAAAAGAGTAACATTCCTTTGATTATTGGTGGGGTTTTTTTTGCTTCTCTGGCTAATCGCTCCTTCCTTTTGTTCATTCAAATTTGTTGATTTGACATACAAAGGGAAAAAAACCACCATGTTGTCCTCCCAAAGTCTCTTTTTAACCTTCATTACTAAAATGTGGCAGACCTGCTTCTTCCATTCACAGGGAGAAGGGCTTGTGTCTTTGAGGGGAGCTTTACAATGGTCCTTTGATCTCAGGTATTG